CGGCTATCCGCTAACAGTACAATGTCGTCTGCGTAGAACATTCTAACTTGGTTTAATTTTCCCCCTATCTTCATATGCGACACGTGAAATTACACTCTTCTCATTCCATTTCCATTCTACTCGGGTATAGTATACAAAGCAGGGGCGATAGCGGACAACCCTGCCTGTGTCCTCTTTTTATTGCTGCCGGTGAACTAAAATATTCAGTGTTGCCTGCCGGGCTTCTGCCCATAGGCATGTTCTGGCACCATCTTTGATTTGCTTTTATTGCCCCTATTTTTTTTTTATTTGCTCTTGTTTCTTGGAATTATATTGTGTGGGGGTCTCTAGATAAGCTCTAAACTCCACGTAAATCAGCTTTTTTTTTTTTTTTTTTTTTTTAAATGAAATGGGAGAAGTGGTTTACAGTGCATTAAAAAAGAAAGTGACCAGTACCGGCTCTACATATGCGCGGCATGCTCATTACTGAGGGCATTTCGCTTTAGACCAGCAAAATGTTGTACATACTTTTTCTTTTTTGTTCTGTCATGTAAATTCGGCGTTATGAAGAAATTAGATTCCATGGGAAGTCGGATTTTATAGGGAATAGGATGATCAAACCTAGAGTTATGAGTCGCTCTTGTTCGAACCGGTTGCCGAAACAAAATAATGACCCGTTCGACACCCTAGTTGGGTCTTCATTCAACTGCAACGCATTCTTAACATTTTCGATGTTTGAGAAGGAACGCCAAGGATAATGTCTAATGGGATTGAAGAGGTTTATTTACAGAAAATAATTACAATGAACATGGTGTAATTAATACACTGCGAATTCCTAATCCAGTGGTTGACTGGTTTCACGACGGAACGTGAAAGATATAATTGCGAACTAAAAATTTAAAAAGAATCGCGTAGCACATTCCTTCAACGTTTCTTTATTACTACGCAAAGCAATGTGGTCAAGTTGATATGAAAATTGCGACTGCCAAAATTAAATTAACGTTCGATATAACGGAATTTGTTCATTCCGTGTTGACATTCTGTGTGCAGCATTTCTTCTAAATCTGCTCAAGTTACTTTTCTTGTCTAACGGTGGATTAGAAAAGGGGGGCGCGACGACCTAGTGACGATCGCTCTCCTTTCCCAACGAACAAGAATGGCATTGACAGAAGACAGCCCCGGTACATTGATTCCTTTGCATATTCCCCTAACAACTTTATATCTATTGTAATGACATAGTGCCCTATGCTTCATAATTGCTGCTTTTTCGTTAAACCAGAATGGACCCGCGAATCAGACGGCAAAGCGGGGTAGCATTGTCGACAACAGTGCCACAGCTACAATTTGTGATCACAACCTTTTCACCTGAGTGCAAGCATGTTCGCTCTATTTCCCACTGAAAAAAAAAACAAAAAAAAACGGGAATAAATATAGATATATGATAGGCAGCATCGCTGTATCAGAGCGCCGTGTCGTCTGTACACTTCATCAGTGGCGTCGGAACAGGGGGGGCAGGGGGGGCGACCGCCCCCCCAGAGAGTTTTTAGTAATGGCGGCTCGCGAGCTCGATATTTCGCAAATTTCTCAGAGTGCGATTTTTAAGATATTTCGCGGGCATGAATTTCTCGCATTACGAGTGGCATGATGATATTCATCATCATGGGATTAGTTATTCGAGGGCTCAATTATTTGCGGCCCTCCAAGAAGGTTCGCACAGAGCAGCGAGCCCTGTCAACCAGCGTTTCTAGTCGCGGAGACAGGCCTTCGGAAGCAGTTCTACGAAGCATTAATTTGTGTTCGCGCCGAGCTTGCAAGACGATTCAAGCAACCGGGCATGCAGAGTCTCGCACAACTAGAGCAAAAAATTTTGTGCGCTATTCAAGAGAAGCCACAAACTGCAGAAGAACTTGAAAGGAAGTTAGGATCCCACGCTACTGATTTTCACCCGGAAAGCCGTTAAAGGCAGCTGAACATGGTTCACTCGGTCAGATCGGCTCCGTACCCGAGTTGTGCCGTGCTCTGGGCGGACAAGTCCCAGAGGTCAAGATGATGATGACTGAGGTGATGCGCCTTGCGGCACTTAAAATGACTGTGCCAGCGTCAGCGGCATCAGCTGAACGAAGTTTCAGCGCACTTCGGCGTATCAAGAATTACCTCAGAGCTACCATGTCACAAAAGCGACTGACTCAGGTAATGCTGCTGCACGTAAATAGTGAGCGAGCAGCAAAACTTGATCTGAACTCTATCATCAGAGAGTTCGTGTCAAGGACGGCTGAACGACGAACCGTTTTCGGGCACCAGTGAGCTCTTTCTTATTTCACGCTGTTTGAAGACGTCAACATGGGAGAGAAACAAGATCACCACATTCCAAAAGAGGAAGGACATATATTCGTTCTAAATAAACGTTTTTTGAGCGTTTCGATTTGATATATCCATACTGTTCTAGATGCTTCATCCCTCCCCCCCCCCACCCCCCCCACCCCCCCCACCCCACCCCAATTCCGTTGCCCCCCCACCTCAGAAATACTTCCGACGCCACTGCACTTCATAAATTTTTGAGTATGAAGTGTTGAAAAGGGGAGTATGTTTTAACCATCCGTTTGATGTAAGAGTAAAAGAAAAAAAAGGTACCAAAATAAGTCTTCATAACAATTATACTAGAGGGTTTGATATTTCATTCATTGGAACTCGCATCTGAACCACTGACAGCGCAATACTCACTGTAACAAAAAGTATCCCTCCCCCCGCCCCCCTTTTTTTTTAACCTAATTTTAAGTATTGAGCTTCTTTTTTTTTTTACCATTTTGGGCAAAAACTTTACCGGCTAATGTCTTCTTAATTTTTTTTTAGCCAAGTTACTTTACAAGTTTATGTTTTTTCCTCCAATTGTGGGGTGGGGTGAAGTCGGTATACCCTTCTAAAAGGAAGACGAAAAAATTGTTAAAGGTGACAGAGAGAAAAACACTTAATAGAAGTCCGAATTATATTATAAATTTAGTAGGGTGACTGGCTTCAACGTGACATTACTTGCTGTTTCTATTTTATGTTGGTGTCTCTATGCTGAACCGAAATCGGGATTCCACAAAACATGGCGACAAAAGCGTGCAACGGGATGCTACAAACACCAAAACATCACTCATAAAGCGATATCTCGAACGGATGACCATATATGTCAAAAAGAGGAGGCGCATTTGACAGATATGTTTACGTCTTGTTTCTCCGAGATGGAAAGGGAACGGCCTCGCGTCTTCTCCGCCTCGCCGCCTTGAGGGGGCAAAGCGAAGAGAGGAGGAAACGAGATATGTTGACGTCCCACGCCTCATCGGCCTCGTTCAATCTCGACCTTTTTTTCCAAAAATACGGCCCTTCATTCGAGATATAGCCTTACTAGCAGTGCTGTAAGGATTGTAGCGTCCCGCCTACATCTCCTGCATTGTTTTTTTTTTTTTTTTTTATTCAAATTTTGGTTTATTATTCCTTTAACGAACATTGAATCACACTAAATTCTCGCTTAAAAAGAATAATACAGCGGTCGGATTTGATGTGTTTTGTTCACGTTTCCACTTATTGTATTAGAAAATAGGAGCTCTTCAGAGGTGAAGCAATGAAGACCGAGTATATACAATGATAATCTTTCGCTCGCCCTTATGTCTATGCAAGATAGGTGTCTGATGTGTCGTTACTGTTTTAAATGCGGTAGCATTTCTGAACAAAAAGTAAGTGCGCGAACAAGCTGGTGTAAAGGGAACGTAATTACAAAAAAACCCGTGACTAGGGTCTTTAGACTATATTTAAGGGGTTTCTTGTCAAATAAACTTTCAGCTGTCTGAGACTTCGTGTATGCTGTCCCTATTCTACCATCGTCCCGTGGATTTTTTTCGTAATTATGACATTTCCTTTCGGTGTTCCCACCTCCCCTCTATCATGTTTCAAAATACATTTCTAAAAGCAAACAAAAAACATTCCGTTCAACAAAGCACAACAAAGTCTACAAGCCCACGAGAATAGCTCTTGTTGGTGCTTCAAGTTGTTCGTGCAGTGGAGGCGAGATCAAACGCAAGGGTGTCGCACCTATATTTGATATGCATTTACAAGAGCGCTTTGAGTTGGCCTATCATGACATCAGCCTTCGTCAAAACAATCGCGCTACTTATATTTTCTTGGTTTATTTCACAGCCATGAATCAAGAGCAGTGAAAACTCGGTAAGGCAAGACCGGCCTCCTGCGAATAGAAGGGTTTACCACGAGATCAATGTGTTTTATGGTGCAGGGATGCAAGAGTTATTGAGCATATAAGGGCACACTGGACATTCTCATCAGTGTCCGCAGTTTCGTGGTTTTATCGGCCGCAAATATGTCGCCACCATATAGCCAGAATCAAAATAAGTTTCTCGGTAACATCCATTCCAGAAAGCCGAGGGAAAATCAAAAACAAATACAAGTTGATAGTGTGTGATAGCACGACACGGATCGTGCTTCACTACGGTAAAAAACATGAAGCAACTATTGAACGAAAATTAACAATGCAAAAAGCACGAACTGTACAAAAAGCATGCGAACCTCCCACAATTAGAACGTCATCGTTGTGCACATCCTGGGACAATAACACCGGCGCCATTGCTACTGATAATAAAAGCGTTCGTCGAAACAGACAATATAGGATCATCTATGGTGACATGCAATATTGACCGAGCCAGGGTGTCTTACAATTGTCGCGACAATGGTAATCGAGCTCAAGGTAAAAGGTGCGCGTGAGCGTTGTGACATCCAGTTCGTGCGCTCCTCCTTCAGCGTCCACATTGCAAAGATCGAAGAAAAGGAAGCAACACCTTTTGTTTTGCTCTTAGATGTTTGGTAGAGTCCACTCGATGGTTGTCTTTTCCTCGCTGGCGTGCGTACGATAGCAAGATTAACAGCTTCTTATTTTGATGGGGTTCTTTGTAACGGGGGGCAATTATCAACCGCATGATGGCCACTCAGCTAGATAATAAACCTCTTGCGATAAGACTCGCCACTCTGGTAGGTTTTAGACCTCTTAGTTTCATTGATTCAGGTGTGCCGGGACAATGAAGTTTCTTGCTAACGGGATTCTGCTGCTGTTGTGCGGTACGTAACTTTGAAATTGCACGATGTTTGTGTCAGTTGTCCTTAAGCGCAAGGAGGTCAATGGGTGAGGGGATTAACACACCGCTGACGCACATTGAGCGAAATATCGTGCTACAGAACCCAGGGATTCCACACAGTAAAAATGGTTACACCCTTAAGAATGTTTAAATTGTGTTCCAGAGACTTACACCCATAGTTTCATCTCTTCAGCACTTTTATTTCGAGTAGTGCACGCATTTTAATCGCAATATAAAGTTCTGCTGCAAGGAGCATGCACCCTTGAAATTTAGCGGCAGCGAGAAGAATGCTGAGGAGGGTATTACTGGGAAGTGATAACACCATTCCCTTTTTAAGGGTGTTTGCTGCAATTGTATCAACTGCTAACGGTTTTTTTTAGCGACTATGTCAAATAATTATTGCCTGTATACCAACGCGCTTTACTTGGGGATACGTTCAGTGAACTTAGTAATATGCTCTACGTAACGACAACAAAGCAACATTGAGTGCCTTTGAATTGTAGAGTATATATAACGCAGTGGAGCAATGAACATGGTCGTGATTCCTGTATCTCAAGTGATTCATTGCACTTGTACTTGATGTTTCTGTGCATGTGAACACTGCATCTAGTGCTAGCTCCTTGTGAACAAGTTCTTGTAAAATAATTATCCTTATAGGAGGCTGCTCAGGTTGCCAGCATCCTATTTTAGTCTGTTCACAAGTGTCCTAAGGGTGTTGTTGTATCACTTTTAGGGTGTTAGCCTTGGGACAAGCTAGTTTACACCTCTAATGGTGTAAATTATTTGAGGGCGTCGGTTCTATCTCCACCCCTCCCCCTTTCGATCTAGGTTAATCATCGTACCGGCGCGTGTTCGTGTATTACTACACGGCGTGCTGCAGGTTATAGACCCCACGTTTGCAGGGGTACCGCTCTGGCTAAATTCATAATCTACAGCGGAGACAGATTTCCATTGAAGCTCACCCACTTCCAGTTGTCTAAAGCACTCACAACACAATTATTTCAATGTTTGTCCTTTGGTGCTTTCGGTTATTTAAGATAGCACATTTATTAGGTACTGAATGTTCAAGATTGAATCCTTTTACCTATATGTTTTTACAAGGTAGGTATGAGGAACGTTTATAATAAGCGAAGGAATAAATGAAGGGCTTATTGCTTGGTTTCTTGGCATCCAAGCTATAAAACACGTCTACGTCTCTTCAATTCATAAAACGTGGTTGAGAATTAATTTTTTAAGTCGCAAGTTTCTTCATGGCATAGCAAGTTATGATTGCCGTATCATTGAATCAGACGCATCGGAACTATTCGGGAGACCCTGCCTCCCATGTTCTGACGCCACTGCAGTGTAGGCTTGTTTTGCAGTCACGTTCATCAACATGTTGCGACTTATTGAGGCGTTTCGATAAGAGCATTGTTCTAATTTTTGGTGTGAATATATCATCTGATAATATAATTTGTATTTTATATAAATTATATAATATAATTTGTATAAACAATACACTAAACGCTTAATTTTTGAATTTTTTTATTTGTTTGGTTTGGGTTTTGTAGCACTCCCTCAGTTTTGACGTTTTTTTTTTTTTTTTCAATGCTTTCTTTTTTTGGAGGGCAAATACATTTATTTCAAATATACTGTGACTTTTATTATTTTAAAATGACTCAAAACTTTCTAGGACCGTAGAAGAAATATTGGCCGACAATTGTGAGAACCTGCATCATAAGTATAGTTTCTGGAATATATTGTCACGGGTGGTGACCAAAGGAACACTAAATAAACAGAAAGAAAGAAACGTTTAATGTGGCGAACTTGTGCCAAAAACTAAAAGGGTACAAAGATAATAACAGAGCGTCGCGGGCGTCGAAGTCGGCGTAGCAGCACAGTCGAACGCTGGGGCGAAACTGACTCGACAAAGTCGCTGGCGGCCTCTTATCTAGAGTGAGCGCTATCTCGAAGTTTCGGCGGAGAAGGTTCGAGCGTAGCGCGCTCGGGGCGAGAATGAACATGCACATTCTGGAAAAACAAGAGCAGGGATAAGCGATAGAAGTTATGTCAGTAGTAAGAACAAACGAGAACCTTCTACAAGTCCGTGACCTTGCGCGCGGCATTATCCCCCCCTTTAAAAGCGCATCGTCCCGATGCAGCACAAAACGAAAAACAAATCCACAACTAAAGGACAGTAGAATTGCGAGCCATAGTTCACAGTTCACCAGTTCACTGTTCACCGTTCACAGTTCACAGTTCACACGTCGACGACGGTGGAAAGGGCTATCGTTCGTAATACGGCTTCAGCCGGACGACGTGCACCACCTCGGGTCGTGGCTGGCGTCTTGCAGATGGACGCGTTCCGTCGGGAAGGACTTCGTAGTTCAGATCGCCGAGCCGTCGGATGATCTTGTAGGGTCCGAAATAGCGTTTCAGAAGCTTCTCGCTGAGACCGCGGCGACGGATGGGCGTCCACACCCACACCCTGTCTCCGGGCTGGAAGTGAACGTCCCTGCGACGAAGGTTGTAGCGGCCCGCGTCGACGCGTTGCTGGTCTTGAATCATGAGTCGGGCGAGCTGGCGGACTTCTTCGGCGCGTTGAGCAACCACCTGGGCGTCGTCGCTCTGATTGTCAGATGGCTCATGGGGCAGCATTGCGTCCAGCATGGTCGTCACCTTCCGACCATGTACCAGCTGGAAAGGGGTGAATCCAGTGGTCTCCTGAACCGCCGTATTGTAGGCGAACGTGACGTAGGGCAGCACCTCGTCCCACGTCTTGTGCTCAACGTCGACGTACATAGAGATCATGTCGGCGATTGTCTTGTTCAGTCTTTCCGTCAGCCCGTTGGTCTGCGGGTGGTACGCAGTTGTACGACGGTGGCTGGTGTGACTCAGTCGGAGGATTTCTTGGGTCAGCTGCGCCATGAACGATGATCCGCGATCTGTAATCAAAACTTCTGGAGCGCCGTGCCGGAGGACGATGGACTCGATGAAAAACTTGGCGACTTCAACAGCCGTGCCTGCTGGAAGGGCTTTCGTCTCGGCGTACCGTGTGAGATAATCGGTGGCGACGATAATCCAGCGGTTTCCCGACGTTGACGGCGGGAAAGGGCCCAGTAAATCCATTCCGATCTGCTGGAACGGCATAGACGGGGGAGAAATCGGGTGCAGAAGTCCTGACGGCTTCGTCGGCGGTTTCTTGCGTCGCTGACACTCATGGCATGATCGAATGTATAGGTGAACGGTCTTCGGTAGCCTCGGCCAGTAGTACTTTTCACGAATCCGGGCGAGCGTCCTGCTGTATCCAAGGTGTCCAGCCGTCGGGTCGTCATGGCATGCTTGAAAGATTTCCTCTCGCAGGCTGGCCGGAACAACCAGCAGCCAGGCAGTGTTGCTCGTTCTGAAGTTCTTCTTGAAGAGCACGCCTCGCCGCAGAACGAAGCTTGGCAGGTCTCGGGCGAAGACTCGCGGAACTGAACTTCCTTGACCTTCGAGGTGGCCCATCACGGCGCGAAGTTCGGGGTCGTCTCGTTGAAGCGCTCCCATGTCAGTATCCGTAAGTGCTCCGAGAAAACGGGCGTCATCGTCGTCGTCGGTGCTGTCGGGTGGAGATTCAATTGGGGCCCTAGACAAACAATCGGCGTCATTATGCTTGCGGCCAGACTTATGCGCAATGGTTACGTCAAATTCTTGCAGTCGAAGGCTCCAGCGAGCGAGGCGTCCTGACGGGTCCTTAAGGTTGGCGAGCCAACAGAGAGCGTGGTGGTCCGTGACAACGCGGAACGGGATCCCGTACAGGTACGGACGGAACTTGGTTAACGCCCAGACGACAGCGAGACATTCCTTGTCGGTTGTTGAGTAATTTTTCTCTGCCTTGGACAGTGCCCGGCTTGCGTAAGCGATCACCCTCTCTGCTCCGTCTTGTCTTTGGACGAGTACCGCGCCTAGTCCGGCGTTGCTGGCGTCCGTGTGAACTTCCGTTTCCGCTGATGGATCGAAGTGTCCGAGAATGGGGGGAGACTGGAGTCTTTCCTTCAGTTCGTTGAACGCCTGTTCTTGCTCCTCCCCCCACTGGAAGTTCACGTCGTCCTTCGTCAGATGTGTGAGCGGTGCAGAAATCTTAGCGAAATCGCGAACGAAACGCCTGTAGTATGCGCACAGCCCAAGAAATCTTCGCACGGCCTTCTTGTCTGATGGCTTCGGAAATTCGGCGACAGCGGATGTCTTTGAAGGGTCAGGACTTACACCTTGAGCACTCACGACATGGCCCAGGAATTTGAGCTCGCCGTAAGCGAACCGACATTTTGACGGCTTCAGTGTCAGTCCGGCATTCTGGATCGCCTGTAGCACGGCTCGCAGGCGTCTCAGGTGCTCGTCGAAGTTGGTGGCGAATACCACGACGTCGTCGAGATAGACGAGACAACTTTGCCACTTCAAGCCGGAAAGAACGGTGTCCATTACGCGCTGGAACGTCGCCGGTGCTGTGCATAGTCCGAACGGCATAACTTTAAATTCGTACAGCCCGTCCGGCGTGACGAAGGCGGTCTTTTCACGATCTTGTTCGTCCACCTCGATCTGCCAGTACCCACTCTTCAGGTCCATCGACGAAAAGTATCGGGCGTGGCGCAGCCGGTCCAGGGTGTCGTCGATGCGTGGCAGCGGGTAGACGTCCTTTTTTGTTACGGCGTTAAGTCGGCGATAGTCCACGCAGAACCGAAGGGTCCCGTCTTTCTTTTTCACCAGGACTACCGGTGAAGCCCACGGACTCCTTGAGGGCTGAACAATGTCGTCATCGAGCATTTCTTGGACCTGCTTCTGGATGACTTCTCTCTCTTTGACAGAGACACGGTACGGCGACCGATGAACAGGAAGCGCGTTGTCTTCAGTGACAATTCGGTGTTTCGCAACGGTCGTTTGGCGCACCTTTGACGACGTGGAGAAGCACTCGTTGAACTCGACGAGTAGGTCACTGAGTTGTCGTCGTTGTGGGGTAGGCAGGGT